GCATGCATTCATTAAATGACCCAAGATGGACAGTTTGCCTAAGAATGTGATCATTAATTTATCAACCGTAGAATATGCAATTTAAATGTCAAATGCTGACATTTTATCTAGAGTCAGTAACTTCATTTTTTAATTGAGAATAACCTTCCACTGAGTTATGCACTGATTATAAGTGAATTATAGAAAAGGTTAAATTTTTTTAAAGTTACCTAAAGCACTTGCCTTTGGTTACGAGTATTTTAAGGCTCGGAAAAATATTTACGTTTACCTAAGTTACAGTGTCACTTCCATCCATTATAATACATTGTAACAAATTGTTCGTGACGAAAAATCTCGCATATACATAGGTACCTACCGATGCTACCTACCCTTTTTGAATAAGCTACATAATTTTCCTAAAATATATCCAAGTCGGAATGAAAAGAACGAGACAAAACATATTACATGATATCTGTTACTTTGGGACTTCTACTAGAGAAGCCTGTCTTCTACTGTCAAACACCAAGCGGTCACCGGTGACCGCAACCTATTGTTCTATAATTGTGTCTATAATGACGGTACTCGAGGATTTAAGAGTGAATCGATGATAACTGCCCTCGAAGGATGCTTTTAAAATAAAAGTTAGGTATACTGCCTCGTTGGCCGAGTGGTTGCTAGTGCGACTGCCGGGCAAGGGGTCTCGGATTCGATTCCAGGGTCGGGCAAAGTATTACTGGTTCCAGGGTCGGGCAAAGTATTACTGGTGATGAACACAAAAATCGATAAACAATCAGTGTGTGTGTTTTTTAATAAATGTTACAGAAAGTGACAGGATAGCGATAGCGATGACGGCGACAATTTATAAAATAACTTGTCATCATAATACATCTATCTGTTTTATTTGTGATGTTCCTTCATGATTACATTTTCTTATTTATTTCACACACAATTATAAAAGAAAAGTCTCAGACGTTAATTAATCGTCAAAACTAATTATTGGTTCAGAAATATTTAATTTCCTGATATACTTAGTTTACGAGAGAAAAATTATAAACGAGAAGAATCGATCCAGAAATATTGCATTTCCGTATCGAATAATTTCGCAACGTCACTATTTAGTACTTGTCATAACGTTGCAATCCTGAAATTGTCAAATCTGGAATCAAATTAAAATTCCGAGTATAGTTCTTAGTTATTCAATATTCCGAAAATTCTCCCAAGAAACACCTATACTTTTACACTCAAATACATAGGTACATATGTATATGTAGGAACGGTGCACAACTGCACACCTTTTTCGAGGATCGTATGAAAATGACAGTTTTATAAGTTGAAATGCATTCGCTAGCAAATATCGCCGCTGTGGAAACTGGAAGCAAAATTTTGTCGCCAGTTCCGAAATGTATTTTGGGAAGAATATTTAGATGTAAGGCAAATGGTAATTGTTGGGAGTTTCATATAATTTCTGGTTTTGTCGAACGCAGTTTATGTTGTTAGTAAGTATGCCTGATTCATCATCATCATCAGGAATAAGTGAGTACATACTACTTGGCTACGTACCTCCTCTACATAAAAGGGGGTTGTTACATTCTTTATGCTTGACAAGCGGCTTAGACATACAGATTGTTCCAGATCCTACTATATATGATACTACGAATGGACTTATAATAAACTTGCCACTAATATCCAGATACTACGAATAGTTGGAATAATGAAAAACGGGATGTTGGGGTATTTTCCTTTTTGTAATTTCAATATATTTGTTGCTTTTATTTACACGAATATACAAAAACTTAACATAGAAATTGTCATATGTAATTACTTTCTCAAAGCAGTATTAATAGCTCTAAGCAAAGGGTTAGTGCCTTTGCCACAAACACCATGGAAATCATCAGTTTCTATGCTCCAAACCATGATCTTATTGATGCCTAAACTCTTGGCGTAGTTGACTTTGGCAGTGACAGAGTTAGCATCATCGTAAGTGACCCAATCTTTGTCCTTGACTGCGTAAGGTACTTTTGCGAGTGAGTCGAAGCGTTGCGTCCAGGATTCGGTTTGAAGTTTCTGACAGAACTGTAACAAAAATGTTAGTGATGTTGAGCGAAACTATTATAAAGTCGATGAATAGCACACGTAATAGGTATAGATTATCTAAATACAATCATGCTTTATTGACTTTAAAGGGAAGTTATTGAAATTGCTTGATGGTGAGGAGAAAATATTAGCCCAATCGCCCAATCTCCCATTCCCCGAATCCCCGACAATCCTCAAATTTCTAATCCCCAAAATCCGGCAACGCAACTTGTAACGCCTCTGGAATTTCGGGTGTCCATTAACGACACCGATTGCTTACCATCACGGGACCCGTCTGCTGTGTGAAAAATTGATTATAAAAGAAATTGTTCCAGATTTATGCTTGGCAATTTTTTTGTGCGCTTTACAATATCAATAATCGTAGATAAGTCAGCATACGAGCAGACGGAACACCTGATCTGATAAGCAATCGGCACCGTTCATGGACACTTGAACCTTGGACGCGTTACCGGCCTTTTGCAAATTTGGAATTTCGGTAACCTCACATGACGAAACGCAGCGCAAGCGTAGTTTCACGTCGTTTTTCTGTGAGGCTGTGGTATTACTCCAGTCGAGCCGGCCCATTTGTGTCGAAGCATGGCTCTCCCATATAAACATGTATGTATGCACTTCAAACAAGTAATACGAGAAAGCATCCAAGTAAAACAGTGTCTGAATAATCTTGATTATTCAACAAAGGTAATTTTGCTCGCCCTAGTGATACGAAACACCAAAATTTAATTTATGCCATCTGCAGCTTTGAAGTTGGGCGAAGTTTTCAAACTTGAGTCGGTTCTTCTTCTCTTTATTATACGTATATGTATAAAAATTGTTATTGTTCGATGTTTGTAGGAGATGTTTTAGAATAAATTACCTAATCCATCAAGAATTTGCGTGTTTGTCTGCATATTAGGTCATAATTTTCTTTACCCTGATTTTTCTTAAGGTCTTCCGTATTATTTTGTTTTGTCTTCTAAAGCAAATACATTGTCCTTGCACACACATTTTTAAAAATTCGCAGAAGGAACTGTGACTATCGAAGTTTAAGTATTAATTCTCGAAACAGCCAAGATACGACGCTGGAACTACATTTGCCATTAATAAATTATCTACCATAGACATATTTAAAAAAAGATGGCTGTACTCGTACCAAGTGAATTTTCAAATGATATTATTATGAAGTCGGGAGTAAAAGCAAGTGCAGAACAAGTTGGATATGAGTGGGTTGCCTTTCTTCTTAGTTTAATGGAAGAACCGCATCATAGTACAACTGTACCGAGCTGTGAATTACTTGGATATTGTTTTGATGTTCTGCCACATATGTAGTACTAGCTTGTGACAGCGGTTTCACTCGCATTAAATTCGGGATATCGTGTTTGATGGACCTGATTTAGAACACAGACACAACTCGGAATACTTATAACGAAAACTGTGGAAAGTCCTTTATAAAAGTGCACTGTCTTTTAGGGGGTTTTGGGAGCGTTCACAAAAAATATGTATCATTTTTTGTTAGTTACATAGACAATAAGGAGCTTAAGTCACTCAAACCTACCTCAAGCCCCACTTAAAACATCACGTCGATTCATCACTCCATTTTGGGCCGTGTAAGACGGACAAATAAACAGACACACACTTTCTCATTTATAATACTAGTACGCATATATGTATAGAATGTATGTACCTACATTTGAATGTAACGTTGGCTTGCTTTGACCCGTTATATTGTAAGCAAAGTTTTTACGAGTGTAGTTGCAATTTTTGTTGCATTCAAATCGTGGTTGTAATGGCTGACTTTGTTAAAGTTTTCTTTTGTTTAGGTGTTTAGATATGTATGAGTCTGTTTTTGGTTTAGATTTTTGTTGTTAAAAAAATTTAATGTAGGATAGACTCATGATAGACTGTTCTGTGTTCAGTGTTTTCGATTTGCTAATGCTAATGTAACGTATCAGATATAAACATTAGGAATATCCTAATTTTAATATTAACCCTTTGAGTATCGTCATTATAGTACCGTCATATATTTATTACCGTCAGACACAATTAAAGAACAATAGGTGTGCGGACACCAGTGTCCTCGCGGTGTTTGACAGTTTAAGAACGGAGTCATTGATGCTAAAAATTTTGCTGGAGTTTGTTTTTCGTAACATCCTCTGTTCTTTAATCTTTGATAATGTTTTTCTGGCGACGTACACTACTAATGTTTCCAAATGCCTTACCTCGTTGTAACCTATGGAGCCTGAAGTGGCAGTGTATGGTCCAGAAATTCCTTCTCCTGCAGCTGGAGCCCTCACATCATTGTCATTAGCATCCTTCAATTTAAAGGTGCGCCCGTAAAATGGGACTCCTAGGGCTATTTTCTCTGGTGGACACCCTGAAAGAAGTTCAAGAATGAAATATATTGTTACTATGCATGTCTTATTTATCTTAGCGGTATCTTTCTTTAATTTGGTCGTCCAGCCTTTGTTTTTAATGATCGCTCATTAAGCTTTTTCATTCTGTTGTCATTATAATGAGAAAAGAAAAGAATATCTCATGGCAATAGGCTCATCTCCTATTACATGGAACTCATAACATAAAATAGTGGAAAGTGGGTGTTACATTGTATAGTAGCATGTAGTGCCGTAATGTGCACCTCTGTCATCCCCTTTGGGGATAAAATGCGTGATGGTATGTTATGTTCTCATTATAAAAGATATGCATGCACAGAAATGAATAATGCAGATAACGAAATTGTAGAACAAATTTGTAACGTCATTAAAAGTAGTCATCTTACCAGCTCCAATCCAGTATTTCAAAGATTGTTCTACATTGAACAGGTTTTCTGGAATCGCACCCTCGTCTCCTTCTCCTTGATGGATAGGTGCATTGTGACCAGTAACAGAGTCCCAAGATCCGTGCATATCGTACGTCATAATATGTATCATGTCTAGGTATCTAGAATAATAGATTAGAAGTAATCAGTGCAGATACTTTGTGAGTTGTAGGATAGATGTAATTTCCTTTGAGGCCACGGGTGCGGGGACTCTAGGTGTGGTCTCACCCTGTGGTCTCAGGGAAGACGGTGGCACAGTTATTACGTGCTGCCATACACAACAAAGAGGAGACATCCGTCTCTCTAGGGATGTGTCGTAACAGGCGTTGCACCGTGGAGGCTCCGGAGCAGGTCTCTTTTAGAGGACCCGGTGCCTTCATACAGGTGTTGAGGGTGGCCACCGGGGTAGTGAGGTAAAAATCCCACACTCCCTAGTCTTTTATCCCCAAAAAGCTAGGCGCCTATAGAAGGTTTCCCCCCGTCATAAAAAAAAAGGATAGATGTAATTTAGTTATGTAGCTAGTTGTTGCCAGAGACACGTGGTTGTTTTTTAAATAGGAGTTCTAAATGCAAAAAAGTTAATCGGATTGTGAACCATACAGAAAATAATCACATTGCATAATCAACCATATTGAATTTAATGACTGAGCAGCTTTTGTCATAGTAAAATATGTCATGAACGCATTGATTAAAAGTTCAAATTTCTTTGTTCTCTTTGTTGTCTTGGTCTATTAATATCAATATTGTACATTGTAATGTACACTACTTTTTATAGTTAATTGTTATGGAATTAAGTACTCAATCTATATATATATATTTATAGATTGAGTTTGGAGTTTTGAGTGTAAACACTTCTAGAAGTCCAGAAAAGTTTATTTTTAAAAGTTACAAGTAAGATTATTACGTGATTGGTGAGTGGTACGTTCGGTAGCGAGTTGAAGTGCACACTGGTCTACAATTGAATGTCTCGACGGAAAATCGTCCGATATGCATAGTCATCATAATAAAATAAGTTTAATTAACATAATTTGTGTGAGTAAACCGTACAAATACTTACTTCGAAATTTGAGCAACATTATAAGACTGCGACGCCGCCGATCTTACTGAAGAAACGGCAGCAGTAAGCAACAGTCCTTGCTTGTCAAAAACAGCTTTGATTTCTTTAAGCAGAGTCGTGAAATTATCAATGTCTGCTTGGCCGTGGACTGTGTCTCTTCGGTTGGGGTACTCCCAGTCCATATCTAGACCATCGAAGCCGTGTTTTGTGATCATTTGCAGGGCGCTGGTTACGAAGTTCTTTCTCAGTGTTGGACTGGCTGCCATCTGAAATGTAATGTGAATTTTTATTTCAAATATGTAAAGGATGATGATACAGAGGAAGTAGTCGTCTATTATCATCATCGGTTAAAAATGCTTGGGGACTGATTGGTGCTCAAAGTTGTCGTGAATTCAATTCTCATACTACTTTTGTATGGTCTATAGATTTTATGTCTGTGTGCGACATGTTACCATGTTAACGTACCTATATCACGATGAAACTACAATAAGCACAATAAACATTGTCCAACTAAGAGCTTGAATTACGAAACCACATGTTCCTTAGACACTGTTGCTATAAATTCAAAGAAGCAATAAGTTTCAAACAAAAATTAAGTTAGCAACTCTAAGTTGGTTACTTTAAAAATTGCCCTGACCACGTCAAGGAAACCTGATCAAAACTTAAACTGAAGTCGTTATAGAGGAGTAAACTTACTGTTGAGTACTTAGCGGACCCTTCGTTCCATCCACCAACGGCCAGAAGTGTTTTCAAACTTGAATTTTTCTTCTTTAAATCGTTGAATTTGCCAAAGTTATCTGAAATGAGTGGGGTGTAACATATAAATTGACATTTTATCAACCAACATTATTTTGGTTTTTTATTCTTACCAGTTTGCTATATTTTTATACTAACTATCGTGAGACATACTAAATTAACTAAAAATCGCGGTTTACTCACGTGAATATACTCTCCCTACTACTAGATGTCGCGACCGGCCTGCTGCAATGTCTGCGTGACATTGTCGCGACCGCGCAAGCTGCTCATAAGGAAGAACCCCTCTGTGGTTCGAAACTTGTAGAGCTTTTATCATTTTTGTTCATTTAGCATGTCTCACGATTTTTATTATAAAAACATACTTAAGACTCTAGTGAGAGTTTATTTTGATGATGGTCCAAGAGATTTTCATGAAGAAATCACCAGAAATAAAAATGGCTCCAAACAAAATGGCATTTAAACGTAGTGTTCGTGAGGCCTATTTAAAGGCGCTACAACGCTGAGTTCGTGTCTTCTTTAATTTATATCTTCGTCAATTTATATTATATTATAATTATATATATGAAGTTATTTATGTATGTACATATTTTGTGTTTATTTTATATTTTTATACAGTATGTTATACAGTATTTATTATTATTATTACTATTAGTTATTTATTTTGTTTTTTTTTTGGATATTACACAGGCCCATTTTCGCTGAGCTTACATTTAACCCAAAGGTTGACTGGGAGAAAATGCCATATGGCATTAAGTCCGCCTTATGTACCTTATTTTGTGTGCATTAAAGTGTAAAATAAATAAATAAATAAATAAATAACTTAGAAATCACCATTTAAGTGAGCTTGGTGATCTTTGCTAATGGTCTTACTCAGTATGATAAAAAGCCATTGATCAAGCAGTAGGAAAGTTAACCAGAATATCATTAAGTGTATAATAGACTAGACGATGTACAAATTAAAGTATTTATAGTACGTAAGAAGGTTTTCAAAAAAAATGACGTAGCATTTAATAGAGTGTTGGCCATTTAAAAATGAATGATAATATTTAACATTTTCACACGATAGTGTGGTGATGAATACGAATGAGTTTAGGGATTTTTGAATAATATGTGCAACGCATAACAATATTAGTGTAGGCAATTTTTTCATTTATAAAATATGTAGAATAAACTTACCTCGTCCACCACCATCAGGTAGATCTAAATAAGGATCCAAAGACTTCAGCGTCCCTTTATCATCAATACTAGCGAATGCGTAAATCAAATGAGTGCAGAGATGAGGGTCTATATTGTCTACGTCGAACTTGCCAAGGCCATTTCTATATGTGGCCCATGTTCCATAGTAACATACTACAGCTTCTGTAAAGTGGTGTAATATAATTATGGTGAAATAATAAATATACAGGATTACCTCACTGCTTATTTCATCGTTGATTTCAGGTAAATGATAAATGCGAGTGTCATCAACCACTCATAAACCAATTCTAATCAGATGGGGCTTAACAGGGCCGATGCCAAGTCGCGGAGAACCTAACGGGTTACCGGGGCTCCGGTTTGACGTGCAGGAGAAGGAACGGGGTGGTTTTTAGTCAGTAAGAGTCTGATACTTCCTCCCGCCTCACTCAGGCGGGAGCAGCAATTCGATAATTTTCCCCCCTTAAAAAAAACCAATTCTAATACTAAGAGTTGCTTAACGTGAAGCAGCACCTAAGCTAAGCCCCTAATTAATAATAATAAAGGAACTTATTTCTCTCAAAAAGGTACATAGAAACATAATATCACTGTTTAAGTTACATAAGGTTCAACCTTTGTGAGAGCTAAGTCTATACTGGGTACAGGACCTGTATGACAGATCTCCAGGCTCACACCCATTGGTTACTTATAATACAATATAGTAATTATAATACAATACAATACAAACATAAGAATCAAATTCTGAGAACTGAGAGTAATTGTACCGTTAGATGTCACTTATAGGTTGATTAAAACCAAATATACAGTTCGACTAACCACTCTGATGTTCATGGATAGGACGGTATCCAAAAAAGTAGCGTCATACGCCCACGGATACTATAGTATTATTTATTACAAAGCGACGAGTTGTGTTTAACTCTATCTAGTTTAAAATACGATATTGTTTGGTGAGTTTTGACAGATTAAATAGATCCTATGCAGCTGATGAAATAGTTCGTTCGTAGATCTTTTTCTTTCGTATTTTTTTCTTTATTCTAGTCATGATGGTTGTACGCCGAAGTTGTGACGTCGTGTGCGATTCGGGTGCTGCTTGCGGCTGGACGTTAGAGACAGTTAAAACTGTACCGTTAAATCGTAAGATGAGCACCGTGTATTAGTCTAGTGGTTCCTTAAAGTTTAGGAGATGTTGGCCAAAACGGGCATCATTCTCTTTACAAATTACATTTGCAGACACACACGATTCTTCTAGATTATTTTAAATTAACATGGACAGGTAACATAACGGAAAAATGTTGGTAATAGGTATACGACTAACAATTATTGTGTATTTATTCATAACTGCGCATACAATTCTGACCCTTAACTAACTAGCAAAAATAAAAGAAAATCAAATAAACTTTTACTTACTTTCACAAGACACAAAATTGCTTAACGCTAGAATCACAAACAGGTACGCACCGAGACCCGACATATTGCTAATTTAAAACTATACTATCAGTAACATTGTCCACTATAGTTCCTTTATAAATCCGATCTTATCTAAAGTAGGTTTTATTCTAATGTAGTTGAGTAAAATCACTGATAGGTAGATTGCTTAACATTTCTAGTAATGTTTATGATTATTTCTGTGTGACCTCCATGTTGATTAAGTTGCCAACATTTCTCCTTCATACGATTTACATTTTGTTAAATATTATGAGATTTTTATTTGAAAATTTTAATTTAATTTGATTAAAGCCGATACCAATGCACAAAGTATAACGATTACTCAACGAATGTCTATTTCTCTTTATTAAAAAAAAAATTTAAACAAAATATGTGTCGCTTGGTAGTTTGGTTGTATAGACGGGGCCCAGTAGAGCTGACGCCTGATGCAGAGCTCCGGACGGCCTAAGGTATTATTGGGGCTCCAGCTCAAAGCAAAATTATGAACAGGGTCGTTTTTAGTCAGTAATCTGACACTATCTCTCCTGCCTTGGGAAAGGCATTAGACGATTTTGTAATTTTACCACCAAAAATAACAGAAAGGCCTAAAAGCTACATTTAAGAAAATAATATATCTGTCAAATCTGTAGGTACCTACGTATCGTATACAAATTTTCAAACACATTATCTTTGCCTTATCTTCTTCATAACAAACTCAATTGCTAATCTTAATTGCGAGATTGCCGATTAATTTACGCATGATTCGATTATACGATTAACAATCTCGTGGTCGTTTTATTTTCGTAGATAAGACCATCATCGGTTAGCTAGTTGGCGTAGTTGTGACGACTATAGCCACAATGTGATTGTTAATAATTGGGTGCAAAGAGCTAAAGATCGAGCTTCCTGACTTACTATTGGAGAAGCCTATGACAAGTACTGCATGGTGAAGAGCTAATGATTATTTATATTGAAGTCTTTAATGCCAATAAAGAACTGTTAAAGGCA